CTAATATTAAACTGTATGAATTTTCAATTGATTGTAGATAAAGGGAGAAAGGAAGGCTACTATTTATGCTTATGCAAAGTTTGTAGAAGAATTTTACAAGAAGAACAAGGGGAAATATAAATCAATTGGCAAAGGACAGGGAGATTTGACAAAAGCATGGGATAAGTTGTCACTAACAAAGAAGGAGGAATACTCAAAGAAAGCAAAGGAAGAGAGAGGAGAGACAACTGTAAAATATATTGTACCCTTTCATACTTATTGCTCTCCCAGTTAGTTTTTAGAGGTTGCAAAATATGTTAGGGTAAAGGACAAATTAAGGAAAAGGCGCGAGAAGATTGGCTTTGACAAACTGCTGAACATAGGATGCAAGAAAATACACAGAGATATCTGTGGAGAGTTGATGCAGGCACTTGACCCTCCAACCCAAGAAATAAGCATTAGAGGGAAAGTAAGAAAAATAAATGTAAAGGATGTACAAAATTTGCTAGGTATAAAGAGTGAAGGGAAGAAGATAACTAGAGAAGTAGATATCAATGACAAATCATTCAAGAAATTGAAGGAAACTTACTTCAGAATGCCCTACAAGAATATTTTGAAAATGATAACATCTGAAAAAGAGGATGCACAGTTTGAGTTGTTGTTTCTAATGTATACTTTGGGAACTTTATTGTGTCCAACAGCAAGTATAGGGGTTAGTGACCGTATTTTGAAGATTGTGCAAGAAACACATAAAGGAATTGGTAAATACAATTGGACAATGTATGTGTTGATTGAACTATGCAATGAAGTGGATATGTGGAAGCAACAACTCAATAAAGGGAAGCCAATTAGAAGGAAGAATGTTGGAGGATGCATCTATTTGCTCATGGTAAGTGTTTGTTTATAATTTACAACTTGATAGTATATGGATCATTATATCTTCAAAGTAATGTGTAAAAGTTTATGTAGGTTTATTGCTTCTAGTATTTTCTTCTTGGCTAAGAAGAAGCACCTAAGCTTGACAATGCCCTCACATATTGGGATGAGGAGAAGGTTGTTGAAAGGGTAAAGGTAGAGAAGAAGAACATTCGAGGCATATTGCATGATCCTATGAGTACAAATGGCAGTTCTTCCACCAAGTTTTATCTAACATGTGCTTTTAGTCACTCGGTATGTATAACAAGGCATCTTGCATTCATTTACCAAATTTTGCATGTTGACACATCATTTGTTTTGTAGGAAATAATGTATGCAAGAGTAGTGTCTACACTTGGTGAGGAGCTAATAAACCTATAAATGAAGCTTCTACAAGATTTAGAAAATGTTGACAAGACACAAGGAAAGGGTGATGAAATAAGAGAAAAAGCACATAAGGATTCTAAAGAAGAGGATGAAGAAGAGGAAGAGGAAGCTGATGAGGATAATTTAAAAGAGGCTGATGAGGATAAAGGTGAAGGAAAGGATGAAGAGGCTGATAAGGCTGAAAAAGGTGAAGGAAAGGATGAAAAGGCTGATAAGAAAAGCTCCAAAGAAGGTGAAGAAGGAGATGAGCAAGGAGTAAAGGAGAAAGTTGAACTGGGTGAAGAGAAAGATGAGGAAAATTCTAAACGGGATGGGGATGAAGGAGAAGAGAAAGAAGCAGAAGAAAATAGAGAGGAAACAACTTGTGTACATGAGAGCATGGATGAAGGAAGGAAGAAGCAAAAGGGGAAGTGGGAGAGTTAAGTACACATGAAGATGAAGTAAAAGAAAAAGAAGATGCAGAAGGGATTAGGCAGCTGCATATTGTAGAAGTAAGAGAACATAGGAGATCATAAAGGTATAAAAGACCTACCGTGAAGTCTCCTTGGGTCAGACCTAGTTAGAGAAGGAAACTAGCTGAGAAGGAGAGTTTATTTTAGATGTGCACAACATCGTGTGATAAAGACAAGGGAGGGAGGTAAGTCATCATACTTGATTAAAAAGCACACCACCTAAACTTTGTTATCAATCAAATAGTTTTTCTTTTCTTCAACAGGACCTTTATGTAGATGTATGGATATTTCCTAACTCGTATCAAGCTTCAATGTCTTGGTGGAACCAGATGGATCAACAATAGGGCATGAAATCTGTAGTTAATGAAAAAAATTATCCACTGTAAAAATATTAACTTACTGCTCTTGTGATTCTATTTTGCCAATTTTAGTTTATGACAATGTTTGCTAGGATATTGGTTGGAGATCAAAAAGAGAATAAAGGCAAAGTTAGAGGTCCATTGGTGGGAAAAATGGTAAACAACCCTTAGTCTTGGATTATTGTTAACAACAGCAAAGAGATACTGCTTGAGTACCTGGGATATAATATTGGAGATTGTGACTTCATCTTTGGTCCTGCCCTATTTGTTGGCCATTGGTGGTGTTATGTGTTCGAGACTAAAACAAAGAACTTTTATGTCTTGGATTCATTGATGAGTATTTCTAAGTATGAGTGAAGAAAGAAAAAGGATGAGAATATTAAAAAGGGCAAGAAGCCTGACGGGAAGAAGAGGAAAAAAAATAGGACAAATGGATGTGAAGGAAAAACTAGCATAGGCTTGTGTATGTTTGCACTTGTTAGTTACTTCATATTGACTTGTCATTTCCTTATGCATAGTTGTTAATAGACAATATTAACTTTTATGCAAAGGGATTGCTTTCACCAAATGCTCCTAGCTGTTAAACTAGATTTATTTAATGATGACACGAAGCTAGATGTAATGTGGCCTAAAGTCCGAATGCAGAAGGATATGTAGTGTTATTTAGTTGATGGATTTAGCTTATGTTTGAATTTGCTGTGGTTTTTTTTGAGTTATCTGATTTAGTACTTTTGTCATAAATTTTGATTGTAGTCATTCGTGTGGTGTACACATCATCACATGGTTATAGTTGTGGGACAACACTTACTTGGATGACGATGGTTATGTGATGCCAAAATACTCAGACGTATGAATGTCTTGTGAACTACTTGGTTAAAACTTGTAAAACTGTAAACCTATGATATTTCTAATGTGACTCTTTTATTCCTGTAGGACGACTTTCAACATATGAAGGTCAAACTATTGTGGTGGCTTATCAATCATCGCAACAATGAGAAGGAACCCACTGTGATGTCTATGTTATTAGGACCCCATAAAGACAAGAAGAGAAGATAGAATGGCTACTCAAGCTATGCATATCATTTAGGATAAAATCAGGGTAGAGCTAACTGTGAAATTGCACTTTGGAAATGTTCTTGCTCTGAAAATGTACCATGGCTGTACTTACCTAATTATACAATGTCCTCACCTTTGTAGAAGCTATAATTTTAGATATTGCACTTTGTAAATGCTAATTTCAATGGTCATTTCCTTTTTTAATGCTTCTATCATGGTGTTCGATGGTTGAAATTTTTAATTGGGATAATAATTGTTAACAATTGCGCAAGGGGAATGACAAGTTGGATAGGGAGAATGACAATAGGGTGAGGTGCATTCATAAGTCACTATTTTCCAGGTATAACAAGGGCTTTTTAATTGGGACAATAATCGCTAACAACTGAGCAAGGGGGAATGACAATAGGGAAAGCGGGCATGACAAGTTGGGTAGGGGGAATGAAAATAGGGTGAGGTGCATTCACAAGTCACTATGTTCCAGGTACAACAAGGCCTTTTTAATTGAGACAATAATCGTTAACAACTGGGTAAGGGGGAATGACAACAGGGTGAGGTACATTCACAACTCATTATATTCCAGGTATAATAAGGCTTTTTTAATGGAGACAATTATTGTTAACAACTGAGCAATAGGGAATGACAACTGGGAAAGGGGGAATGACAAGTTGGGTAAGGGGAATGACAACTGCCTATTCATTCACTGTCAACAGGGCTTACACCAGTATTTACATCTTGAACATGTAGAGTAGGTATACAAGCACCATCATCTATGCATTTACATAATATTGACAAGCCATTCCAAAATTACCTACATGGGCTGCATGGATATACTACACTTTTAGATGCATTTACTAAAAAATACCATATGCATTTATAAAAAAATATCATATGTAATTACAATTAAATATCAGCTGTATAATCAAAAAAATTGCATCTTCCCAACATTAATCAGCATGGATTAGGGTTCTTGTAGGTCCTGGAAGTATGACTAGCCTCATGACATCTTCCATAATGATAAAGCTTTTTCTTTTGAAATTAAGATTCATGTCTTTTCGTCTTAGGTCTTCTTAGAGGCCTTCTAGTCGTCGGTGGCTGCAAGAATATTTGGGTTAACATATTTGTTATTATCAATGCACTTGGTCATGCAATATCATGTGTGGACATAGGCCTCATGCTACGAGCATAAATTTTCTATTGTGATATCAACTTATAGCATTCATGCATAAATATGTACACATTTCCATGAACTAGCTTTATTGCTACACATACATGTGCACAAGGTATTCCACTCATTTGACATGCCAAACAATTGCACTCATGTTTTGCAATATCTCCAGTCAAATGAATTATTCCATTAAGGGAAAAGGTTTGTATTGAGATCCAATTTTCTCTCTAAAATTGTGCATTCAAATTTTCAGCCCTTATAACTTGCTCCATCAATTTTGCCTTTATATTAAGTCCTACACCCTCTGTCCAATTAATCATGGCCATTTTGAATGCTAGCATCTTGTTTGCTAATTTCTCTCGATACTTATGTATTAAAACATCAATATTGTGCTTTTGCTCCTTCACAATCCAAGTGTTAAATGATTCAACAAGATTTATTGTAATGTTATCCCATCGTTTATAAGGAAACTTACATTGTGCTAATCGATTTACATCCCCTTGAGCTTCAACCCATTGTGCTAATTGTGGACTGAACAATTTAAGGTTTCCTATAACAATATTAAATTCTTCCTCATGCCTAGCATAAGCAACAACATCAAGCAATTTTAGTGTAGCCTCCTTGCTATTCCCCATGTCCTTCTCTGACCTTTATTGATTTTTACATATTCAGCACTAAAATTTTAGTTCATATGAGGATAGCAATATGCATGTCTCTCGCCACCAAAAATAGCTTGCACAGCCCCCTGGCATTATGCCTATCATAAACTGATGTTATCTCAACTGATCTTATGATATCTTTGACATTTCTGAGAAACCAAGACCAATCTTCAAATGTTTCCCCACTCATAATAGTATATGCTAGCAGAAATAGGTCATTGTCCATGTCATAAGCAGAAGTTGCCAACAATGTTCCCTTGTATGGACTACTTAGAAAGCATCCATCTATATAAAGTATGTGTCAAAAACCTTCTAGAAAACCCAAAATATAGCATCCATATGCAATGAATAACCTCTCAAATCTATTGTTATTGGAGGCTTCCCATTTTACAACTGTCGTTGCATCAGTTTCCCTTAATCTATCATAAATCCAAGGGATTATCATATAAGAATCTTGTGGAAGACCATGTATATCTTGCAACGCTTTTCCTCTTCCCCTATATGCTTGACTGTATGTCAATCGCACATCATACTCTCCATACAAATCTCTTCTAATTTCATTCGTACTCTTGTTTACAGTAGACTTCAAAGCATCAACAATGATTGATGAAGTTAAATATACTCTTGCCCAGTATGAAACAATAAGCTTCTCCTGTGCATTATGGATGTACTCGTTATTGAATCTTGTTACCTTCAAAAAGTCACTATGCTTTCCTATTGAATATGCTGCAATATTCCATGGACATCCTTCAACCTTGAACTTAGCAATGACCTTTTTCATATTGTTCTTCTTAAATTTGTATGAAAACTTATGCCCAATAATATACTTGTACAAAGCTTGTCTAAAGGCCACTGCATCGATAAACATTTGGCCCTTACCTATAAACAAGTTCTTCCATTTCGTTGAATTCATTTCAGGTATTGGTGTAGGCACTATTTATAAAATACATTCTAATGGCAAATCTTCAATCTCAGGATAGAAACTATGTGGAGATAAAGACCCTTCCTTTGAAACCTCCCAATAAATTATCAATCTTGTAAAAAATTACAATTCAAGTACATTAGTAATACTACATTTTAATATTATATATGTTAACAAAAATAATTAACACAACTTAGACATGTTGGCACTCAGTTAGGTCATCCATTGAAGCTTGTGTAGTGTTATTTTCATTTCCAACTACATATACATGTCCACTTTCTTCATTGTACTTAATTAAATGTTCTACTCCATCATCACAAGATCTACAAGTGTGCTTCTATCCTTGTTGAGTGTGAACTTCATTTCACTTCGAATGCTTGTACACCCCATAATTGCTGATAACATTCTTTTCAACTCTTCATAACTTGTCCCTTCCTTTATACTTCTTATTCTTACACTCCCACCCACATATTGCATACTACCTTGGCCATTATATGCAATTTTTCCTTTAATATGAGAAAAAACAAAATAGATGTTTCCAATAAGTACTAGCTGTCTTTCATGTCAACCTGCACCATATACAACATATTGATAACTACCCATAGCATTTTGATTTCAACAATTAATAACACACACAAGATATTGTCAACCGATTCTGAACACAACATATTGACAACTGCCCATGCCATATTAACAACTGAAGCTTCATATATTAACAACATATTCAAGGTATTCTCAACCTACACGTCACACAACATATTGACAACTATCCATACCATATTAACAACATATGCTTCAGCTATTAAAAATATATCTTACTATCTCATGGCAGACTCATCAGGTCAACCAAGTAGTACTAAATTTTGGAATAAACTATTACTAATGTAACCCCAATGACCATCTATGATAGATATATCAACCAAGAGAGAGAGAGAGAGACCACCCATAACTTATATACCTATAAGGAGAGAAAGAGAAAACCCTATTCTACTAACAAACCATAAAATACTAGATTAAATGATTAACAGGGAGTATATGCAAACTAATCTCATCATTTACTTACTTCTGTAAGGTCACAATATCAGATTCTTTGAAGCTCGAACCTGGGTGCAAGAATGTTTGAATGTAGGCCCTCTTCCTTCACAAACTCCTACATACCTCAAACTAAAGATCATTGCAAGAATGGGTTCATCTTCTAGCTACGTATGCCATTCTAAGGACGCTTGCAAGATGCATCTCAACTGCTATTGCCTCTATCCTTTTTGAAATTAGCCAAGGGCAAATAGGTCTTTTTAGTTTTCATATTATTTACCCCTAAGAACCATGGGACTTCATACTAATTTGGTTTGTTCATGGGACCTAGCAGTATTTAAGTTTGATGTGTGGGACCTCATTGTAATTCTCCCAAGTATTTAATGCTTTTGTCAGAGCTCAATTCAAGTATGATTTCAAGGGATGTCATACAAGGAATGGCACTAAGGTTTAAGGCTCTAATTCCCTTAAGCTAAATTAATAGTGAGCTATAATATGTTTAAGTATGGTTTAGAAGGCAGAAGCACCTAGCTTCTTTGTGAGCCAAAACACATATAGGTGCTCTAAGTGTTCAAGCATAGAATGGAATGCATAAGCACCTAGCTTATCTATTAGGGAAAACATGCTTGACTCCTTTTTGAAATAAGCTTGATTTGGCTTGTTCAGTCTAAGGCTTTATAGTTTAGGCTTGTAAGTTTTTAAGAGTAAAATCTATTTCAAGTTTGATTCAATCCAAGGTCACATGTAGATTGAAACTAATGCATTCTTTAAGCTAACACATATGGACAATTCAAGCATGGATGCTAGGGCTACTTAAGTGTGAATCATAACATAAAAGCATGTCCAAAGACACTTGCCTACACTAATAGACAAAACATATGTGAGTCCTTCTGGATCAAGCATGAATCATCACACAGTGTTGTGCTTTACTTCTGGAGTCTAATTCAATCGAGTTTCTAGTCTAACTCAAGCTTGAATTAGATCCAATAAGTCCTATCATGCATAAAAGGTAACCAAAACATATGTAGGTTTATGCCAGATCACGTGTGGATTGGACATATGAGCAAGGGTGCATTTTAAGAGTTTGGCATTTAAGTTCAAAGGACTTATAAGCCTAAAGTAGGTTCTAATAAGATGAATTCTTACTATTTTTAGAACATGTGATAGCTATTATTTGTTTTCACAATTGAATCTAACAGAAGAATAAAATAAATAAACCTATGACACTAAGTCTTCTCTTCATCTTCATGCTCTTGGAGGTTTTATCACTTAATTAATTTATATGATTTACACAAGTAACAAACACCTTTTTCTTGATTTTTTTATCATCAAAACACATGGTTTAACAATGATGACCCTATTGTATGAGCTTGAACAAGAAATATTACAAGGACATGACTTTCTTTATTTGTAGATCAGTAATTAGTCCATAATGGTGGTCTTGATAACACCTAGTGAGAGTCTCTTTCTTATTGAGCCAAGTAGAGGAAGTTGTGTAGTTCATATTTTTTTTTCACCAAGTGTCCTTTCCATTAAGCAAGGTGGTCATTTAAGAGGTGACTAGATTAGGTATTCTATAAATTTTCAAAATCATTGCCAACTAGGAAAATAGAGTCTTGTTTCAAAACAATGTTTGAATAATGAGATTGTAAAATAGATGAAGTTTAGTAAATGAGAAGCTTGACACAGGAAATTTATATTGGTTTGGCCTAACTACTTGGCCTATGCTAGTCCTCAAGAGCATACTTGAGAGTTTTAACTAAATTTACAAGCTTTTTTGATAAAAAAAATTAGAATGATATGGGGTGAAAGCAAAATTGTGCTAGTTACAACTAGAATCATGTTGTAGAAAGAAAACACAAAACAACATAAGAAAATACAAAGAAAGGAATGAAATATGGAAGAAGAATATAAGAATAAGGAAATGAAATAACAAAAAGGAAAGGGATAAAGATTAAGGGGAAGATCCTCTAGAGCATCTACCTCTAGCAATCTTAACCTTTAAAGACACCATAAAAGTTGATCAAGCTCTTAATAATGTCTGTATTCATCGTAGGATGCCACAACAAGCACTAAGGCTCAAAGAGTTAGAAACTCTATGAATAAGAACAAATCTTATTATTCAAATTCAAGTTAGGTTACAAGAGTAGAAGCATGCCTATACATAGGTAAAGACAAAACTTAACCCCTAATTAGAATACTAAAATTTGAAATTAAAGGGGCTACATAATCTTAGGAACTTTATTTCTTTAAATTATAGGATTACAATAGATAAACTGCCTAAATTATTAAAGAGTAATCTTGACTAAAATAAAATAGGAAACTAAATTCAAGACTCAATTCCTAATTAATGAAAAACCTAAAGTAGGAAATTAGATAGTTTTAGAAAACAAGCTAAAAACAAAAATAGTTAACTAAGATCAACAAAAGTCAAAATCATAATTAATAGTGAATGTTTTTGAGATCACACATCATATCTTATCAAAGCAGATCTATAAGTGGTGTGATGTTCCTTGCTTTTATCTCAAGTCACACCTTTGTCACATGTCAAAATAGAAGCTTCTTAGATCTTCATGTGTGGTCTAGCTTTTCATAGACTTGGGCCTTAAACAAGCTTGGACCTTATTCAAGATAGATTTGGGAAGTGCTCTACTCCTCCTTAACCAATATTCCAAGTTTCTAATTGGCATATGGTGAATTAGGACACTTAGAAGAGGCTTGGACCTATGGGCCTTCTATAGATCTATGGACTGGGCTTACAATGGATCCTTTAGAATATTAGTCTTGAATACTTGGAGTTTAGCTTGATGAACTCCTTAGACCATGCCTCTTAGCTCTCTTAGATCTCTTTGCATACTAATTTTCACTTCTTAAGCTCCTAGCTCTATGTTTACTCTATCACATAAGCTTCAAAGGGTACTTGTAACCATAGTATAAACACAAGGCTACACCAACCTTAATTTTACTTCACAAACACTTAAAGACCTTATAAGCTATTAAACACTTTGAGAAAAGCCTTCTTTAAGAATTTAGAATAAGAAATAAGCTTTCTAAAATGTGAATTCTTGAAAGAGTAGATAAAAATATAATGAAGTCTTATAAAACTAGTAAAACATAGAGCTTTTCACAAACAACATGAGGATGAGTTTGGCAAAAGCATAGGCTTTCTTTAGAACTTCAAACTCATATGGGTACAATCTATATCACATGAGGGATAGGTTCAAGAAATGAAAGACCTTTTAGACACTTTGAAAAATATATGGGTGACATCTAGACCTCATAAATGTGGTTAAGACAAATTTTGAACACTTAGAATGGATTGAAATAGCTCAAGTGTTCAATATTTAGGCAATCTTAACTAAGACATTAGATCTCACATTGGTCAAATTAGCCATAATAAGGATAAGAGGGTTCAAGAACTCAAGTTGCAAATAAGAATACTCATGAGGCTAAGAACTTTAACCCCACAAGGAAAAGAAGTTCAAAACCTTGTTACTATCACATGTTACATTTGTGTTTCATACATATCATAGGAGATAATTTGTAAATCATCATGAGCAAAAGCTATGAATTATGAATGCTGTTAAGACTTCTAAAAAGAATTCATGTGATTCATACTAAGTCTTAACCTGAGATTCATTGGGTTATTACCAATATTAGAAAACTTTCAATCAATTATCTTTCACTGTTCAGGATCAACAAGATGTCTTAGGTTTTCAATAAAAATATTCTCATTTGATATTATGATTCTTGCATCCCTTTCATCAGTAAACATACATTTTATTCTCCTTGTACTTTGATGTCTCACATACTAGTCACTTCATATCCTCTTCAGACTCTTTTTTATAGTGTATGCAATTATTAGGCATACATGTATTTCCTTAAGTTTCATGCCAAGCGGACACTGTATTTTCTACACATCATAATACCAATCCATTAGCATATTTTGAAATGAACAA